TTTTTCTGGTTCGTATGACCTGAAATCTCTTTGAAGATGTAAGTTAATAAAACGAGCTGAACAAGCTGTTTCTTTATGTTCAGTGCGGGGGGTATCATGAGATGTTGATAGATGACAACATGCGAAAGCTAACGATTGGACAAGGGTTTACGCTTCTCACTAGGTAGCGACGCATGGAAGTTTGAATTCTGAGAGGACTCGGCAAAGAGAAGAAGCGAGTAGCTGTTCAGCTAGCAGGCAGGTTCTTCATGTCGCCCTTTCCGTCCTTGATCCACTCGGGGTCGATCAAGCGCTCGCGTTCAGCGTAGAGTTGCTTGTACGCGCCCCGAATGGTACCGTCGCTGACGTGTGCGACCTGGGAGATCTCCTTGGCGGATTTGCCGTGGCCCATGAGATAAGAAGCCATGTAGATGCAAGCCGCGACGATCGACAGAGGCGAGCGTCCAGCAAGGTCTCCCATAGTGGTCACACGATCGGAAAGAGCAGAGGACACACTCGTAACTTGGTACGGTAGATCCAAGAGGTTGCAGAAACGGTTGCAGAGGTCGCTGGGTTTGGTGGAAGTTGTCGCGGTGTAGGTGTCGTTGGGGTCTGGAACACCACCACTGGACACAACGGCATTGATCCGTTCCAGGTTCTGAGCCGTGAAGAACTTTTCCAGAGCCTTGTAGATCCGACCAATCTCCTTTCGGGTGACCTTGGTGACCGCAAAGATTTCGGTGAAGGTCCGAGGGACTTTGCACTGGCGGCAAGCAATGAAGATGCAGCCGGCGATGATGACTTCCTGTGACTTTCCCTTGAACGCCTTGGCATCGTCCACGATCTTGAAGAGATATTTGGCCGTATCCGCGACGTTCTTCTGAATGTTGAAACCATCGCACAGCGCCCCGATTTCCTTGTAGGCGGCCAACAGAGCCTTATTCGCCTTCTCGCTCGACTGCTTGTTTTGTGCCCGGTACAGTTCTCGCGCGCGACCAGAGCCTCCGCTGGCGATCTGGGTCTCAAGCTGGTCGCCGTTCAACAGAGGATTCGTGGCATCTCCGACACGCGAGGGGTCGTCGTTATTCTGGTCATCGTTGGAGAACGTACGCCATTCAGAGTGCATGTCGATCTCTCGGTCAGCAAGTACCAGACCACAAGAGCCGCAGACTGTCTCATGCGAGTCAGGAAACTCGAGGTTGGGCGGGACCTCCCTGCACTCGGGACAGATGAGATGGGCCGAGAGGTTCTTCCTCCACTGACCCATATCGGGGCGGGCAGAGGTAGAAACGCTAGCCATTTTCACGTTGTCCCGGTTGACTGCAATCTGTTGGATCGAGTCAAGAGGGGTGAGCCGAGAGGTGAGAGAGAGGTGAAGAGGCAAAGGTGAAGTCAGAAGTGTTGCCGCCCGCCGTCTGGAGTAGTAAGAGCCGCATGGTTGCTGAGTCAGCCGCCAAGCCGAAGTGTCCCGAAGAATCCATCGAACGTTCAACGTCGGCTTCACGGACCAAAGCCATCTTATTCTTCGCAAGAAACCCCATCCCCAGGTTCTCCCCTCATTCATCACCCCGCCGCGATGATGTCTCAGACTCTCAGAGCTTCGGTAAGTCCGTTTCATCTGTAGGAGAATGGTCTGGAGGAATTAAGGTTGCTAATTGGTGTCTGATTAGCGCTCCCTGCTCGCCCGCGTCTCTCGGCAACAGGTTTCTTCTGTTACCCGCCGCTCCTTCCTGACCTCCGCTGTCCGTCAGGGTATGTCCCGATTGATTATCCCTTGGCCTTATTCAATTCCGAACAAATGAGGAAATGCTTGCGTATGATGGACTTTGTAGACTGTGTCTGACATCGGATACTCGTTCTAGCCGACCCCGTTCAGGAGCTCTACCTGCGCCAACTTCAGGCCTATAAGCCCACCCCCATCAAGCCCGGCGATGCTGAGGCCCACGTCCAGAAGTTCTCCGCTCCTGCTGCGCCCCAGTCCCCCGAGGAGGCCAACCTTGCCAACGATTTGAAGGCCTACGAGAGCCAGGATGTTGAGGTTGAGGGTCAGGCCGCCGCCGGTGAGGCCGCCCCCGTTGAAGAGAGCTGGTTCGAGGAGGAGCCTGAGGAGGAGACCGCTCACCACTAGGTTTATTGCTTTCTGGCAAAGTCTGAGAAATCAGGACTGATGGGCAATGGAATGGGAACAAGAGAAAACCTTCCATTGATGAGTCCTGAAGGAATCGTGTAAATTAAACCTACTTCGGAGCATATGAACCTGTTTCTTCCTTTCTTCTATTTGATGCAAGCAACTATGTGCCTGGAGACTTCACTGGGGTATTGAAGTGATAAGCATGGTTGTAGTGTGCTCGGAAAAGGCATGCTTTAAGCCAACAGTCTATTTCCACTGACCTGGTCGATTCTCGCCTTGTTGTTGCAGGCTCAGGTTAACGTTCATATATGCGCTTGAGATTGCTCGGTTCCATCTTGCTCACCGCCGTATTACTGATTGTTCTGGGGCGCGGTATTCATGGCCAAAACATGCCAAACTACTTCAGAGACTGAATGACTGCTTATAGTCTTGATCTTAGCTCTGCTTCCTGTAATAATTCTAATTGCGGGACGAGCAGATGGGAGCAAAGAATCAAAACCATCTACCCTTAGCTACAGAAGAAGTTCGTATCCGGATTCCATGGCAAGGACGAACTGAGCTATCGAAAAAGACGTGCAGGGAGATTCGCAATACAGACAGCAATAACGTGTCCATTGCCGTCATTGAGATGCAAGAGTATGCACTCTGATTACCTCTTTTGGCTCTTGCATCGCACGCAGGGGGGGCAAAAGGCGTGCGCCGATAATCTCGAGTATTGATGTCCAGGCGCCTGCCGACATATGACAGCTCCGAAAGTCTAAAGAATCGGGGCTTCTGGAATATCAGACCGCCAGATCTTGTCCTTCGGAGAAGAATCTTGAGTTCGCTCGGTTTCGCTGGCTTCCTCCGGTGCTGTCTGGAACGAAGGTCAGTCTTCCAGTCTTTCTAGATCGGTGCTAAGCGAGAGGTTATCGATGCTGCGTGGCGCCATGATGGATCCTGCAGTGTCAATAGATGGACGATCCTAGAAGCTACCTAGAGAGTTTAGGGTGTAGCATTACGTGCAGCGATCGATTTCAATTCCTCCTGGGTGATGGAACACAGACAGAGAGAAGGAAAGAAGGGGTTACTGAATGCTACAACATATTAAGATCGGATAAGGAGGACACACTCTGATTGGAATGTCCATGGGACACCTGTCACTGTGTGTACAGTGGACAACATTCTTGAGAATGAGATTGAGAAGCTTTGCTTCGGACGATGGACTAAATAGTCATTCATCATTAAATTTTGATCTTGAGGATTGATGATGAGGTACGAAAGTTCAACGGGTAATTTAACAGGGACGGATGAGCCTAGCCATTTATACATGATGGTCTGGCTCTATTTTTCTACCTGTTATCCTCTCATGTCTGCGATTAATGCGTGGAGGAGCCCAGCTCAAGGTAGTTAAGGTAGTTAAACTATACAGACGATTATTGTACCATCATACCATGCCTGGTCGGTTGAGTTCTCCAATCCAACCACCGCTGCGAGGATGTCATAGGCGGAATGCATACTATTGATCGTCAATAACTGCGGACAGACTATTGGATTAAAGATCCATCTCAGCCTTGCATCTGGAGGAAACCGGACCCTTTTTTGGGTGAACAAGTCATCGAGGGCATAATACAAAACATGTCTTTAGCATTTGGAAAAGTGGCTCAGCTCGACAAAATATGCCTAGGCAGAAATATGAATACCACTGTGTATCTACCCAAATTATGTAGGAGGATCTTACTCATATGTCAATAAATTACTAGAGCTTAGGTACCAAGGTACCTACTTTATGTACTGCAAAGAATGTAGGTATTATGGGTACATGACGCTATCGCAAAATAATCAATAAGTAATAATAATAATAGAATAGGCATTAATACTAACTTATCTATAGTCTAGCGGACTATGTGCATACAATAATGCATAGGTACCCTGTACATAGTAGGTAGGTAGCAGTAGCACAATAGGTATCATACACCATACACCCTTCCTTCGACACGAAAACAATAACAATCGTAGTCCATCTGAATACTATTGTTCGTTTCTCTTCATCTTCGAAATCGTCATCATAAGCTCCTCCTTGGATTCTGAAACCTACAAGGCACTCAAGGGCCCCTTTTGATTAAATACAAACCAAGTCCCACCACTCTGGTACGCGGGTTCACCGAAATACGAACCCTTTCCCCGTCATCATCATTCATCATTATCTCCTTCACTAGAGCCTCTTCAGCCCTTTTTCCCCTCTTTCATTAAGCGTCAGACTATCTATCTATCTTTTCTTGAAGAAGAAAAGTAGATCGGAATCTGACAGCAAGAGGGGGAGCCTTATCAATCCTAGTTCCCCGGTCATTCGTTTATCTCCAACCTCCGAATCTTCGTTTGTTGATCGATTAACCGCGCAGCCTCCTTCGTTGAGCCTGCAGTACCACTCGCTCAGTTTTCCCTTTCACGTTGATACTATCGCTGGACACCACATAAAGCTGACCGGAAAAAGAAAAAGGAAGCTCATATCAACATCATAGCCGGATCGAGGTATCCTGGCCTGACGTGTTCACCTGGTTAGTGTGAAGCCCGCCCAGTTGTCCGTTGGTCTGCCTGCTTACCACCTTCCTACTCAGCCATTGCTGCGTCGCCTTCCCAGCCCTCCCACGTCCCTTGAGAACCATAAAGCCGGCCCCAATGCGTTAGAGCCGACCTCTTTGCACATGGTTTGAGCTCATACAACGAGTCTCTACCGTTCTTCTCTTGTCCTCTGCCTGCCCTATCTCTTTTTCTCTTACATGGAGGAGCTGGTCTCATCCGACCTCGAGATAAGCAGTCATTCAACTTTCCGGACCGAGAGCAATGTGCACAGTCCTCGGATGATACCTCCTCGTGGACCTATAGTACAGGATTGAATATACACCCGATCATGTCTTCTCTCGCTGTCGATATTCCGACCAATCCGATCGATGAAGAAAGCGCTTTCCTTTCTCGTGCCGCCAGTTACAACAACCTTTCAGATATTCCGGTTACTGAACCTGGGTCCCCCGGCTTGCGGAGAACCTTTTCCGACCTGACATTCCCAAATAATGATTCAGCCTCGCCGTCGAAGGAGGATGTGGCTGCGGGGAAGGACATTCTGCGACGGACCTCTTTACGCCGCAACAAGGAAAAGTCGGCCGTGGCCGTCTCTCGATTCACCCTGTCCGCTGAGGATCTGAACGACACCGCTACTTCCGAATCCTCCGGAGCGTCCGCGAAACCTCCTGTCAAGTATCCAGAGACAAAAGCCCCAGAGCCCGTCGCTCGTCCCTCCAAGACCCGTTCCATGTCCGGCAGACTGGTTAACCTAGCTCGAAAACCCTGGGGCTCCTCAGGCTCCCAGTCTCGATCCCCTTCGCCGTCTCCTAAGCCCTCCAAGAACCGAAATTCTCGCTCAGACGATCAGACACCGTCGAAATCGCAGGGTTCACCATCCAAATCCAACTCTCGACTTGAATCAGTGAAGGAAACCGACCCTGTCATGCCTTCTCGCAAACGCACCATTCTGAGCAAACGCCCCAGGCGTCCGATGGTTGCAGTCGTAACTCAAAGCCAAGACGACAGTCCGAGCTCTAGTTCATCCCCCCATTCGTTACGGGCGAAGAATTCCTTGGAAAGACTTGCCGCATCTCTCCATGTGACTACCCCGATCCTCCCTCCCATGCCCAAAGGGGCGGCTGTTACCGCTGGAAACTTCTCTGGAAATGTTGACCTTCCGCGAAAGAAGGATGAGCTATGGGGCGTGTTCCGTGGACTCGAAGCTGATTACCAGAAGTGAGTACATTCATACCCGGCGCCGATAAGAACCGATCCCTTTGGAGCTTCAGTTGGCTAATCAAGCGACACAGATTCCATTCCAAGTCGAGTGCTCTAAAAGCAAATGTCATTCGTTCTTCACTGCTGCCCTTCTTAAGTCGCAACCAATCAAGTGCCTCCTACAAGTCTCTGAGAGCTGAAGACCTCGACCGCCGCGTAAATATTCTCAACAAGTGGTGGACTGGGTTACTGGAGATGCTCAATGGCAAGAACAATCAATCCATTTCGGGTACTGACCGTCCAGTCTACCTCGAGGCGGTTGTCGGCATCATGATGCGGCCGGAATGGAGAATTCCCTTCCCCATGCCCCCCAACAGGGATGAGCCGCCCAATTCACTCCACCATGCTTCGACTTCGATATCGGAGAGCTCTGACTCCTCAGGCTCGGATTTCCTGATCGAGTCAATCCATCACAACATCAGGAATATCTTCGTACAGAATTTGCTGTCTCAGATGGCCTTCGTGGTGGAGAGAATGTCAATGAGGCATGCACCTGCTAGCTTGGTGGCATTTTGCGGAAAGGCCTGCGCATACGCCTTCTTCTTCTGCCCTGGCGTCGCAGATATTCTAGTGCGCTTATGGAACACCCCTGCGAATATCTTCCGACGGATCCTTGCCGATGCTGGCGTAGAACGATGCAGGAACATTCGTGCTTTCACCCACGATCTCGGGTTAAACTTTCCCAGCGCGCTCCGGACGCTATGCTTTCATTCCCACACACCTCTCGTTCGATATCTTCGGCAAAAACCCGATGTGCCTTTGAGTACAGCTCAGATACAATGGCAAAGCCCTTGGGTTTCGAGGTGGTGTGGTCGAGACACAGATCTTTTCTTTGTCTTTGTCAAGTATATTCACATCCTCTATGCAGATGCTCTGCCGACAGATATAGAGAAACCAAAACGTATCCTGGCCCCGGGTCTGCTGCCAATTCACGCTCAGGTGCTTGTAGTCATGGAGGACACTCTCTACAAACAATCAAGTCCACAGATGCCTGAGAGTACACACACCGCCGCAGCCATCACTTTTGATGACTTCATTGAGGGTGCCGATGCAACAGTTTCTGCTCTTCCTTTAGGCTCTGCTAACAGCCACCGCTCGATGGCTGAGAATCGCCTGATCATTCTTCTGCGTGATTTCTTGTCTGAATCTTCCCTCGAGCCTCAACGCGCGCGGTTACTATACGCGGAGTCCTTCTGCAACATCATGAAGACTGCTGCTCAGAAGACTTCTTTATTTGACCACAATGCATGCTTTTTGCTATGCGACTTCGTCGAGGAGGTCCTTCCCATCCTCACACGCTACTCTCAAGCTGTGGATATGGAATTATTTGACTGGAAGTTTTGGCTTTCGGCTTGCCGCCAAATGATGCGGAGCCACAATTCTCTGACCGAAGTGAGAGTATTCTCCTTTCTCTTTTGCGTTTGGGGCACGTGGATCACTTCCGAGGAAAGAAAAGCCGACCTCTGCTTGGACTTTCTGCTCGATGAATCCTTGTTCTATCACTATTTCAGTCACTGGAGCCCGATGGTGCGCGCATACTTTCAGCGTCTCCTATGTTGGAGGCTGTGTAGGTTTAATGGGGAGCCATCGCCGCTCGACTCGTAAGTACAAGCCTTCTGGTATCCGTGCGCCTGCCTTGGTTTCGCTGACCTTCGACATCATCTGTAGCACAATATACGAGGCGCTCTGGAATCGGTTACAACGGGTTTGGTCTTACTATCGCGACTTTCAAGCAAACGCTGAAAAGGAACTTAAAGCCCCTCTATCGTCTGCGCCATGTTCGCCAGCGCCGGGGCGCCGGATCATCATTATACGGTGTGATAACCACATTACGCCACCGAGTCTCTTCGTCTCCTTCGACCGCGTCGTGCCGCCCGCTCCAACCGAACTGACGGCAGGCTCCAAGGGCGACGATTTCTCCGAGTCTCAGGCACCTCCGAAGAGAAGGTGGAATCTTTTGAAGGCGATGTTTGGCAGTTCCAGCATCAGAAATAATGACGATGCATCGCCTCCGAGCACTAGTTCGGAAGATTCGGATTCAAGGAGCCACGATACCATGAACAGTACAGAGAAGAACTCGGACGACCATTTGCGACCGCAGAGTGGCACTGGAGAGAGTAGCCGACCGAAGACGCCACATCAGCCATATTCTTTCAGGTTCTCGCTGGAATGGATGGACAGGCCGCAATGGCCGAGCAAGAATAAGCGTCTCTACAGCCCTTGCCTTCCTGTAGGAGCGCAGCTGCACTTGCAGCTCCGAGGATACTTGGACAAACCGGTTGATGACGCGTCGGAATATGCCTCTGCAATTGATTTGGATGAACGCGCCAAGACTGACTGTCGTCTTGAGGATGCAGCGTCAGACAAAGAGACACAGGGGCCAGCACAGGATGCTGCGGCCGGCGAGAAGACCCTTGACCCAAGAAATACTCAGTGCCTTGCGAAGGACGGGGTCGTTGCCAGCAAGTATGCAGGCCGAGCCCTCGCCGAATGGGCACAAATTGTCACCGAGTGTGACAGTTTCTTTGCCAGAAGACGCGACGAGGGTGTCCCTTGCGACCGGATGGTGGAGACTCCAATGCTGGGCGTTGAAGGCTTCCGCAAGTGAGGCGGCCATCGCACTTCTGGCCGTTGACAGCAATTTTGATCCATCTTTTCATCCTTCTAATAATAACCTGTCCTGCTCTAATCAGTGGCTTGACGGGGCCAAGACCTCCTTTCTCGTGTCCTCTCTTTCTCAAACCGGGGTCTGCCAAAGTACCACTGAGACTTTGCAACCAAGCGAATTCTACTAATGATGTCCTCTCATTTTCCCCTTTTTCCTTGGCATTGGGACTGTATATATACCAATGGGATAATACATACTACAGGCGTTTGGGGGACTGCATTTCATTTTTCTTTGTGGGTTGGTTTGGGTTAATCCTCTAGAAGGTGGGGTTCTTTTCAATGGCATATCTGAGTTCCTTTCCTTTTTCCGACTTGAGTAATGTCACAGCTGTCCCATAGTTTATACAACTGAAATGAACTGGGACACAAGATGAATTAATCTCATCTACTGAATCCATAGGCACTTGGAGGCCAATACTGCATTTTCATTCTTTCTATCGATTGGTCAAAAGGTGGAACCGCGGCAAAACTAAGGTAGAATATTCAAAACTTGTCTTCAGGGGCTAACAGGAATGCTAAATGAAGACGGAGGTATGTACAAAAAGGCTAAGGGAAGCCAAAGGCAGTTTCCTCTCCCCAGAATGGAAGAGAAAGCATCGAGGTAAGAAATACGGAATAATGTGAGGTTCAATTCGCTAGATCTGATATACTTTGTTCCGTCGCGATGACATGCAGAGGAGCCTGGATCAGGCAGTGTGTATATGTTCGTGTATGTACGTGCTGATGCACAGATGATGAGAAGTATACATAGATTTGAGAGACTGAGATCGGGCGGAGGTATGTATAAGTCGATGGATGGGAGAGTAGGACTGATTTCTGCGAGGTTTGATAGTTTTGAGGTTGAGGTGTAGGGAGGAATCTAATGGTGCACGAGACTGTTGCTTGCGCGCTGAATGATCTTGGCGACTCGGTCGATCCATTCCTGGGTCAGAGTCCAGTTGCCCGAGTCGATGCTGTCGCGGATGGCGGGGAAGACGGCGGCGTCGTAGCCGGACCACAGCTGGGGGCCGAAGATGACATGTTTGAACTGCGTGCGGTTGGGGATCTGATGGAAACTGTCAGTGTCGGGGACGCTGGTGATGCGAGAGGGAAGGGTACTTACTCCGCCGTCATGATCTAGATCCAGAAGTTGGGTGTCAAAGCTGGCCAAGCGAGAATTATGGTTCAGTCGCTGGATGGCCATCACGTTGTTTTCGAACCCACCGGCGCCCCAGACAGTGTCGTGCCATAATTGGGCCCATTGGTCGAATTCTCCTGCGTTGCTTTTGAACTTGGACGCAGCGTCAAAGAGGGGTTGGAAGCTGACGGACGGTTCTCCGACGGCGCGGGCCTCTAAAAGCTGGGGGGCAACCGGGACGTTCTTTGACTTGGCGTAGGCCACCAGATCGGTAACATAAGTATGCACATGATCGGCGTACACTTGCAAATCGAACTGTAAGATAGGGTTATCCGCAAGGTCAATCAGGAGCAAAGCCCAGAATTGGCCTAGAGCCTTGTGGTATTGGAACCCAGGATCTCCGAACTTGGTCATCCAGTCATAGTTCTCGTAGCAGCTGTGATAGGGGAAACGCTCGCCAGTGAATCCAAAGTCCACACTTGAGGTGCCAGCTATGTCCTGGAACGCCACATAATCACTTCCAGAACCAAGGGGGCCGAACTTCTTCTGGGTTTTCTCCCAGATGTCCTTGAGTGTCTCGTTCGTAATGGGATCCGCAATGCGGCCGAGGATCTGCATCACAATCCGCTGAAATAAGGGAGATCCGGAGGCATCAAAGTTATTGCCGGTCACCCCAACGTCAACGTTCAGGTAAGCGAATGCATTCTCTCGAAGTGCTTCAATCGCTTTTTCCACATGCTCCGTTGAACCGATCATATTGTATTCTTCCGCGTCCCAGCTGACGAACTCAATGGTCCTCAGCGGACGCCATCCAAACGTCCGAAGTTCACCAAAGACGCGAACAAGCTCTAAGAAGACCGCAGTGCCACTGCCTGGGTCTGCACTACCAAGACACCACGAGTCGCGGTGGTTGCCCACGATGATCTTTTTTTCAGGCTGTTCCAATCCAATGATGCGCCCAATGACATTGTATATAGGCTGTCGTTCCACTTCGTCCAGAATATTCATCAGGTTCACTTTGGGGGAACCACCGTCTCCCGTCCACCATTCCTGCACCTCGGGAACACCACCAACCCACTCCTTGGGTACCTTTGTACCATGACCCTTGAGAACCTGCAAGAGTCTCTGGGCATCGCGCCAGGCGATCGGAATACTTGGTATACCCGGCAATCCCGGGCTTTCCTCGACCGAAAGTCGTTTCTTCTCTTGAGGGGTAGATGCAAAACCCGGGGAAAGAACATCCCCGACAACCCATGACATCAAGCTTACTGCGCCCCTTTGGACGCCATCGTCCGGCATAAAGCGTCCGTCTGGAAAAGCGGGACCCCGCCGAAACCCATCCTCATGCGGGTCAGAGTAGATGATACATCCGGCAGCGCCAGCCATCTCCGCAAGCTTGACCTTCAGGGCACGATCTGTCTCGGAACCATAGTATCGGACAAGTGCGATAGCGCCCTTCATGTCAATTCCGTGGTCCGCTAGGAGCTGGAAATCTTCTCGGGAACCGTAGTTTGCATAGACCAAATGGCCGGTCACATTTCCCGATTTTGAATGTCCATGGAAAACCATAGTCTGTTCGTTCTTCTCTTCGAGCGCAGCCTCCCAGGCCATGCCGGGCGGATCAACGATCGCCACCCTCCTTCCGCCTTCGTTGGGATAGTTGAGGTAAACTTGAAATTCCTCCATTTCAATTTCATCGAGTGCTGCATTTTTGAATTCCTGTTCAATCCATTCTGCCAGCGCAAAGCTGCCCTCGGTACCAGCCATATGAGGAAACTTCGTCACCTTTCTCAAATTATCCGCGATGTTTGTCTCGTTGATGTGGCCCTGAAGGAAATTCTGCACCGACGCGGCGCTATACGACTGACCCATCATGAATCGAGAGTTCAGATTGAAGAGGTTCGAAAAGAAGAACACGTATACAAGAGCGACTACCAATAGTAGCCCAAACACCCGTAGCAGGATAATGCAGCTATGGTCTTGGAAGCGTGGACGGGCTCCATCGAGATTAATTGTGAATCGGAAGTTTGGTAGGAAGCGGCGAAAAGGAAACTGTATTGCAGAGAGCGTCCGACTCAGACTGTTGAATCGTTTCGAGAAATGCTGCCCCAGCCGGGACCGTCGAGATGACGATTGCACCCCTGCTTCCTCCACATCCATCTGAGCGAGTTCGCGCTGCAACTCCTCGAGCGACCCCCGAGCGGAATCGGTTCCCGAGGATGCAAGATCGTCCAGGCTGTTACGGACGGACTCGACCGTTGGCGGTTGGTATCCATGAGGCCGAGATCGTGGGCCGCCCGGACCACTGGTATTGTCGGCATTATGCAGCAAGCCCTGTCGTTCCGCATCGTCGCTGGCTTCATCGGGGCCTAGATGAGATCGCGAGGAGCTTGGACGGGAGGAAATAGCTTCTTCGTAAGTTGGAATGGGAAGTGATTCGTATTCGAATTTCTTATCGTTGCCCATGGCGGAATGGATGCGGCTCGGGGGAGCCGTAGAAGTTAGACAGCGTCACGGATGCCGGAGTAAGCGGGATCATGATCTGGATGAGAAAGGAGCGACAGTGAGCGACATACTCCCTGTGCTTGGGGGAGATAAAAGTGAAGATATTAAACACAAAGAAAACCCCGATGAAAACGAAGATCTACAGATGAGAGAGTGGATGGAGCTTGGATGTAGTCCAGATAATCTCTCACAGGAAAAGGAGTGAGACTGACTGGCTTCCCCAGATGGATAGTCAGACGTGTGGCGCAGGCGTCAGAGGCAGATATAGATAGTACGAGGGAGCCAAGAGACCCACGCTCCGCTTTCGAAGTCGTACTCGTAAACAGGCAGAAAGGTTTTGATTGGAAGCATCCGAGTGAGTGCTGAGGAATAAGTTTGAATATCAATTTTCTGTCGAGGAAGATATACCAGCTTCCTGTGAATGTCATCGATGTTGACTTTGCTCTTCCTTGGATGGCAATAGAACAATATTCCAGGACAGCATCAAACATTTGCACAGGTACCTGTATTCTGCCGTCTGTCACCGCCTGTCATATGGTGTTGTGCCAACTCTTGAGCACGCTCGATCGATCATGACTTCGATTATTTCCATGCTGGGAATTTTGAGAGTTTGGTTGAAAGAGTATATCATGCTGCTTATACTATGTAATATACTGTGCAACATTTAAGGGTTGTAGTATACGACTTTGTCTACTTGTGCAGGGCGGAATCCTACCATGATTTATATATATCCCACGAACAGAGGAAGCAGCCTAGTCATTCTGTTAGTTAATTCAAATCTACTAGCGGGCTATCCATCTATAGGAGAGGGAAGCGTAGAGATCCTAGATTTACCCTCTACTTCATTAGTTAGAGGTAGGTCGAAGCATCTGCCACAAGCTCAAACTTGAAGAAGTCATCCCATGCGGATCAGAAAAGTCCGACCACTTTCCCCAAGTAGATTACAGCCCCCATGAGCTATTCCGGTATCATGGGGCTGCAAGGCCGAGGGGTCTGATAGGATATAAGCATGTTCTAGGGCTGATGATTTCATGCGGAATCACCATTGGAACCTTTCGGTTAAGGTGTTGGATTAGTGCTGCCTAAAACACTACTTCTTTAGACAGGTACATCCAGTATAGATTCCTATGGACTGGAGAGTAATCAGTAAGCACATTAGTAGCACCTCGTCTTCTCCCAAGGCAACCTTCTTGGAGGTGCTCAGTTGGGACGGGTGCAGCATTATGTCGACGTGTTTGAAGGGGACCTATGGTACCTGCGAGATGACGTTCTAGAGGGGACTCTCGACCACGAGATACTGTGTTATGTTAGCGCATGAA